TGAACGAAAGGTAAGGAGTATCGTGTTGCTTTTTTTAAGCAAAAATGTTGTTTTTATGCCCATCAGTGCTTTGTCTTTAAAGTTCTAATAACATAAAGTATTTTTCCTTCAGCTTTGAGAAGAGATATTCGCACAAGAGCTCATTTAGATCAAAATTTACTTGCTACTTACATGTCTTCAGAGGATGCCGCCCTGCAACTTAATTTTTTTCACGGTGACATACGAGACTCACGGAAATATGACACTTTTCGCGGGAAACATGCCGTTCTATTTATAAATCTACTCGGGAAAGGGTTGACTCAAGAAATTAATGGAGATGGAGGCTCCATTTGATGGGCTCCTGGTCGCGGAAATTCCAAGTTAACGCTCTCCACTTAATTAATGTTGCGGAAATTAAAGTTTGGAGAAATTAATGCGACTTACGTACATTAACGAGAATTTTCGAAATTCGCGTAAATTTACAGTAATAAGGTAAGGCCCGTTTCAAACGTCGTGCTACTGCCATGCCGAACTCAATTGATCGAATTAAATTCGACTTTAGCACAGCAGTAGCGCGACGTTTGAAACCAAGTCGTGCTTCTGCCGTGTAGCACGGCAAGCTTTGCCGTGCTACACGGCAGTAGCTCGACTTGGTTTCAAACGTCGCGCTACCGCTGTGCCGAACTCATTTCATAAATTATAAATACATTAGCATACATTTAAAAGTTTGCCAAACCGTTTCTTTACTTTTGTGCCTTGTTTTCGGCAACAGCCGTTCTATTCGACTGAATTAAATTCGACGTCTTAAACGAAGTGGTGCTTATGTCGTGCTGCAGTCGAGCTACAGTCGAGCCAGCTTAGCACGGCAGTAGCACGACGTTTGAAACAGGCCTAAGCTACCCAGCAAATATTTGTGTCGTCACGCACTTCTCCTTCCCAGGGGGGTTTTGGCGTCCAATCAGAAGCGCGGAATTATGGTATGGAAGGGTAAATAATTTATGAGTACCATATAGTTTTTGTACCGAGTCGGTGATAAGGGGATACATGTAGTTAGGGGAATAGTGCTCAGCCAAAGGAGAATGTATATTGTATCAGACCTTCCAAGATTTAAAACTGTAAGTAGAGTTTACAGGGTCGTAGAGCTCTGACTGTAGATGAAAGAGTTAACAAATTTTCTCATCAAAATTATTCTAATGATGCGGTTGCCCCTATCGTTTTCTAACCGTTAATTATGAGCTGGAGCGCGCATATTGAAAAGCTCATTCAGAAAGCAAACAAACGCTTGTACTTTTTAAATCTTAATCCCTATAGCCGGTTGGCAAGAGCCAGTGCTACATAAGCTTGCCAGTATTTCATCATGCGTTAAAAGATGACAATGAGGGAATTCAGAAGTTAACTCCTCCACGGATAAGTTAACTGCACTTTCCACCATAAAGTTAAACAGGCCTTTAAACCTCTTTAAAACAAAAAAAAACTGTCTACCATTTGCCCATAGTTGCAATCAACCTGACTGGTCTGATTGTATGTACTTCATAAATTCCTCTATCGATCCTCTACGTCGATATTGCTATCGTTGCTAGCATCAATCAAGCCATATCTGCCAAGAGCTATCAAGTTTCTGGAAAGCAATGGAAGATCAAGAATACGGGACCGGCAAGTTGGTGAGTTATCTGTCGTGAGTTTACTGCAGCGAGTTAGTGAGTTGCAAGATCTTGAATTTTCCAAATCTTGCCGGCAAGATATTGAAATTTCCAAATCTTGCCGCAAGATCTTGAATTTTCTAAATCTTGCCGGCAAGGTCTTGAATTTTCCAAATCTTGCTGGCAGGATTTTGAATTTTCCAAATCTTGCCGGCAAGATATTGGATTTTCCAATCTTGTCGGCAAGATTTGGAATTTTCTTAATCTTGCCTGCCTAATATGGGCCATAAGTAAACCAGATATCGAAGCCTTCATCGAACAAGCAAACTTACATCACCCAACTATCAAATTCACGGCCGAAATCAGTATCTGACGCTGAGACTGTGTTTTTAGGACACGCTTGTATACAAAGGCACAAGATTCAAGGAAAAATCTATCCTTGATGTAAAGACACATTTTAAGAAAACGAAACCTTCCAGTACACACATTTCACCTCTTGTCACCCGCCGAGTGTTAAAAAAGGATTTGTCAAAGGAGAAGCCTTGAGAATCCTTCGAACAAACTCCTCAAAAACTACGTTTGAGTAATATATTTTAATTTTCAAAAAACGCTTGATTGACAGTACATAGTCTGCTACACAGCCGTTTTTAGAGTCGTCGCGCAATGCTCCTCCCCACTGTGGGGAGGAGCGTTGCGTGAAGACACTAAAAACGGCTGTGTAGCAGACTAGATTGACAGAGGCTACCCATGAACCATGATGGAAAACCTTCTATCAGATATAAAGTTCACAAAGAGGGAGGTTGCACTCCTGAAAGACAACAACAAAGAGGAAAAAGAAATATTGCCTTTCGTGACACAGTACCAGCCCTCAGCCCTAAAGGACATGCTCGTTAGAGCTAAAATATAAAAGGTTAACACAAGGTTTCACGCTGGTATAGATGTGTGCCTGTCACCCATTGCATTTTCTCATGGTACGTTTACCGTTGTTCATGTCGACGCGATCAGAAAAAAATAGAAGTTATACCCGCCTGGACTCACAAATTGCCACGTTTGCAGCAAATGAGAAAATAGCAAGATTTGGAAAATTCCATATCTTGCCGGCGGGCAGCATTTGGAAAATTCCAAATTTTGCCGGCAAGATTTGGAAAATTTAAAATCTTACTGGCAGAACTTGGAAAATTCAAGATCCTGCGACAAGATTTGGAAAATCCCAGATCTTGCCGGCAAGATTTGGAAAGTTCAAATTCTTGCCGGCAAGATTTGGAAAATTCAAGATCTTGCAACTCACCACCCTTAACTCACCACTACTAACTTACCACCTTGCTAAAGGTCAAATGAACCAAAAAATTGAAATATTTTCTTTTGTCGCTTTACCTTCACCAACCACTAAAGAGAACCATCCTAAGTGAGATTTGGGTAAAGATTTTTATTCCCAAGCCTTTATAGAAAGATAAAAGATCAAAATCCGAGCATTTCCGAAGACTTCACGAAAACGTTTCTGAAATGGCCGCGTGATATACTGGAGACTACGTGACGTCAATGTTCGTCTTTCTGGGCGAAAAAATGTTCTGCGCAAGCTTCTGCGCATCCCTTATCACCTGCGTTTGTTTGTCTCGTTCTGTGAGTCGTTCTGCAAGAGTTCTGACCGAGACTGAATGAACTGAATAAAATACACGAGGTGCGAACGTTTGCTCCTTGTATTAAGGCTTTTATTTGTTTTTGTTGTTGTTGTTTTTTTGCGTCACTTGAAAATTACTTTGGATTCAGAACAACCAACGTTAGAGTAAAAACAGATCATTCCGTCAGTCAGAGGAGGAATAAAACGTTTTGAACATTTCCAAAGAGGTTTGTACTTTTCTGATAATAGACCTTGTCACGGTTTTCGACGCCATCTTGACGAGTAGGCAAACGTGTGAGAAATTACAGTGATTGTATGAGAATCTAATGTCGAAAAAATTCCGTAGAACGGCTGTTCTGAAAAAAATATGATTGGTAAACTAAAGCTGCACTCTTAAGGATTCTCCTGAAAAAATTTGAGTGCGGTACATGCACTAGAAGACGTAGAACCACTTTTTAAAATTTTCTATATATTTTTCTGTAAGAAAGTCCCGGGAAAATTACAGACAAATATATGGAAAATCTAAAGCAAGCCTCTGGAGAAAATTAAGCACAGGTACGCCCCTAAATGTTTTTAGGACAATCCTTTGCTTTGTAGCTTTAGTTTACAATTGATATTTTTTTTCAAAACAGCCGTTTTACGGAAATTATTCGACATTAGATTCTCATACAAACACTGTAATTTCTCACACGTTTGCCTACTCGTCAAGATGGCGTCGAAAACCGTGACAAGGTCTAGTGTGCATTCGATTTGTGAATTGATTTTGTGTCCAGTGCTTCGTCTTCTTTCGCCGGGCTCAATTAAAACCCGCTTGTATTCTGTTATTAGTAGTTACGGTTAGTTTTTTTACATGCATGCCCAGATTCATTTACCTTTATAGAGGCCCTGTTATAAATAAATTCCGACAAGCGACAAAGCCTTGAACCGATGACATGAGAGCCACGAACTGGCGACGACCGAGAGACTATTGCAACGAATTAGCGAAAGCGACACCAATGTCAAGACAGACCGACAGCAAATTTGAGAATTAACAGAATTGTGAATGTCCTGCAGAACATTTGCGCGTACGCTATTCGGTAGTAATTACTTAATAATGATCAATAATGGCTAAGAAGGGTCCAATAAAGGCAAACAGAAATACGTCAGATTTTACTGCTGTTTTGATTGTTCATTTCATTTGATTGACGTGTTCAGTGCATCACTCCTTTTGAGGACTTTGCCGCTTTGCGTATCATGTTCTCCTCCTTGCATGACCCACGTGCGCGCTCCATCAATCTGTTCGAGAGATTTTTTTTCTTTATCGATCACGTTCATCTCGGTGTTCCAAATGGTAAGCGAGTTATTGAAATACATCACTATCAGAGTCATTAGGGAGTCGTCGGAGTGCCGTTGACGGCATCAACGGCATGGGAAAACACAAAAAATACAAAAAGGGAAAGAAAAAGCGAGAAAGCGAGTCATTATGTTCTTCGAGAGATTTTCTGAAAGACGCCAAACCAGGGTTCAACAGCTTTCTCAAACTGGTCGCCACTTTGACACTTGTTGTGGAGAACTTTTTCAGCCAAATTCGCTCCAGAAATGACATGCCAACTGCCTTGGAGTTTGCATATCTATTTGCGCCCACCATTCGCGAGTCATTGAAACAACTCACTGACATTGGCTTTCTCTACTACACTTCCCCACACTCTTATTGTGAAGTACCAGATGAGATGAAACTCCCGTTTCGAGACTTGCCTTCTTAGTCTGTTCCATCGTCAGTAGAAATGGCAAAAGATGACCAGAGGTTGATGAGGGACTGGAGGGACAGCTTTGGTAAACTGGTCCGTCAACTGACCGTTCGAAATCAAAGTAACAAGGACAATGTAGGTACACTTCCATTGCTCGCATACACAACACCAAATCAGCCTCCAAGACCATTAGATTTTTCCACCACAGACGACCTCACAGCTAGAGAAACAGTGGTCACAGAGATTGAGCAGGAAGCTGTCAGTGGAGCCATTTTATTTGAGGCCAACAGTGTTGTGGTCGTCAAGCGCGACCTTATACGTGGATACCCGAACAGGGGACCCTTCTTTGTTGGAATTGTCGTAGCTGATGTCACCGACAAGGAAGAGAATTCTTTTTGTGATATTGAGTTGTTAGTTTCTTCTTTTGAAGACTGTCTGCTGTTTACTTTGAATGAAAGCGCACGAATCCACCGAGATGCTATCGTCAGTAAAGTGAGGGAAAAGCATTTTGAAAAAGGGTGCGATTTTGTGAAATTGACGGAGGTATGATGCGAGACATCTCTTCGATACCAAAATGACGTGGAAGACCTTTTGCCAGACAAAGGAGGCGGTGAAGAGGACAGCGACCTCGACTCTGATGATGATGAAAAGCCAGCAGACGTTGTCCTTGGAGGAAAGCCACTTCGCACAACATCCGGGAGAACTGTCGCCCAAATCGTCTGGACCTTTAGTTCATTTTTCACAGACTTCTTATAAACGCATGTCTTACAGATAATGAATAGTTGACAATGTCCTTCCTCCTGGGAAAAGCACAGTCTGACGACTAAATCAGAGTTTAACTCGGAAGAAACATTAGACTCTTGCACTAAAAGAATTTTAGAAACGTTATGATAGCTCGGGTGTTTTGCCAGATTAGGCCTCGATTCACGCCAAGTCATTTTAAAAATATCTCTACACTTGTATAGTTTACTATATGGAATTTTATTGACTTCAATTACTATTCCAAGTAGTCTGAATGAATATCAAACATTTATAAAGGTCTTAAAACCCTGGGCTCTAAAGTACTAAAGATAGAGGCCGTATGTTCCGTTGGCGTCGTTGCAGCGAATGCGGATTGTCAGACTGGCAACGAGCTAAAAAATTATTATTGAAATTCCGACAGGCGACACGAGAATGTTCCGAAATTGCGACATAGATGGCTGTGAAATTCAGACGGGGGACACGGGCACCCCCCCTAACAGGGCCTCTTAATAGAACCAGCTTTGTTCTTGTCTTATGTCAAAGAACCGTAATGCTAACGCTTGCGAGTGAACAAACTTGAGCGCTTAAAAATTCCTCGGAACTATAGAAGGCTAGCAAGCTTATTCGAGAAGAACAGACTACTTCGATCACTTTTCTGTTGCTCAAGAAATAATACTCAGAGTTTCTTTTTTTTTCTTTTTCATTTTTAATTACGTAGTTTTGTTTTCTTTCTGTACGAAAATTTTCCTTTTCACTCGCTGTGAATTAGCTGAGAAAGACAACTGCCGGCAGTGGCTTTAAAACAATTGACTCTTTGCCCGTAAACAATTGCTGGAGCTGGATTTGACTGAAGCGAGCAAAACAAACCCTTATGTGCAGTTTTCTAATGATTCAGTTTGCTGAGTTTCATTTGTTTGAATGAAGACCCTTGCATGGACCAGCTTTTAAAAATAGCTAAATGGTAAATCATGGCTTAAGTGCGAAGCTTGCAACTGATTTTTTGCTTTTAAGATCTTTAGGTAGGTTATTTCGCACAGAAAATTCAGTTCTTCATTGTCAGCAGGTCAAGAGCCTTAAGTCTTATGTTTTTTGAGTGGAAATTTGTTGTTTTGTAACGTTATTGAAGCTTTTTTTAGTTCACTTAAGCTGAATTTTATGCACGATGGAATTGTTCTTTGCTTGTCGCCTCTCTTTGCGAGCTTAAAGTGGCGTCTATGGTCCTTAAAGTGACCTCAGTCGGTAATTAAATCATATACATAACTGGAGAGAAGTTTTTGCAATAACGTAACTTCAACTTTGTTTGAAGGAAATCTTTCTTGGTTTTTGACAAGTGTTATGCATGTTCAACTTGACAACACAATGCAAACTTTACCTGCGCGAAACGATCAAGTTTAAAAAATTGGAGTTGCTTTGAAACCGATTTTGGGGAAGATTTTACTAGATAAAGATTAACTCTTTTTCTGCCCACATATCAACGGCAAAACCTCTACATTGAAGATTTTGTTTATATTTTAGTGTTCTGCGAAGCACAAGTGTCCGATCGAGCGTGGGTTTTAAAATATCAGCTCGAGTGCGACAAAGTTCAATGGCTTCAAACACATTGTGGGCAAACTTGAATTTCTTTGGGCAGATTATTATACAAAGATATTTTGTTTTTGTGTCCACGGTGGAGCTCCGGACCTTATATATCCAGGAACTTCCTTATATGAACACATCTTGTGAATGCATCTTGAAAAAAATCGGACCTACGCTCACATTTCCAGTACAGCTCAAGGAAATTAGTAAATGTCGTTAAAGTCCGTTTATTCAGTTTATGGCCGCACAAACCACCACAATTTCTGCGCCAAGTCGACTCGAAAAACACTGTTTTGAATTTCCCGCTTCTTTTCACCTGACCAACATCGACGTCACAAGCTGTTTTTACCGACAATTTTTCCGACCGCTCTAAGAATATAAGGGCCAAAAAATAACAATTTTTAATTGCGAATATCTCAGAGATGCTTGCTTCATTTGAGCTGAAACTTCATAGTATATTTATTCGGTTCATATTAAACATATTTCACTAGATATTTTAAAAACTCCCGCATTTGCAGCCGGCTGCCATGAAGGATAGCACAACCACTGATACCAGTGTAATGTTCATTCTAGTTGCGTTAAAACATTGAGTCAATCAATCAATAACTTTATTAGCTTTTATTTAACCGCGGAGTCCTTTTCACTAAAAAGTGCTCTCCCAAGGAGCCGTGCGCTTTAACAATAAGTTACACATAATAGAGTTTATAAAACTTAAACCTACGTCATTACAATAATAAAAATTATCTAATTTTAAAATTGAAGTACAAAAATTATTTTAGTAGTAGCCTACCTAGCCTCATCTAATTAATTGAATTAAGAAAATTATTTAAACCCGGCCTAGCTAATCGAAACCAATAGAACTTCACTCGTTCGATTGACTTCGACTGGGTTCGATAATCGAACTTAATCGAACTCACCCAAACATTTTGCAATCGAGACCAATCGGACGTTCGGAAATCGAACACTTAAACAATCGAACATAATCGAACGATCGAAAATCGGAAGGTGCAACAATCGATCATAAAACCAGTTTCATCTGGTTTCAAACAAGACGTTGCGTTCAAATAAGTTATGTATTGGCTTCAATTTCAAACACGAGTACGCAAAGATGTCACAGAGGGCGGAAAACCTGGAAAACGTGAAATTAAGAATTTTGGAAGCGATGGTTAAAGGCTACAACGTGAACTGGCGCCTGTGCATTAAAGGCCACTGACCGACAAAGTTGAACGGTAAGCCTTATGTCCGTTACCGTCGTTCAGCACTGCCTGTTATTATGTACAAATATGTTATCAAGACAATACATTTTGCGTGTGTATGCTTGAAGGTTTTACTGTGCCAGTCATGTTTCCCAGTATTAATTTTGAATTTATCGATTATGAATTACTTTAATTTAACAATAAAGATTTCACTGATTGTACGTAGTCATTTACTTATTTACGATTATCAATGTATTTAGATAGTTCGGTTCAAAGCATGAAAAAGTGAATTATATTAATAAAATGTCGATAAAGTAATCAGTTGAATTCATTGCAGATTTAAGATTTTAGGTTCCATCTAATTTTCCACGAACTGTCTTTCATTGAGAATATTTCAATGGTCCTTAATGAGTCTAACAGTCAAGTGTTGGACATCAGCAAAAAGCCAGGAGCTTGTAATCTTAAATAATGTATTCCTCAAATGTTTATATGCTGTTTATCAAATGGTATAGTTTACTGATTATTAAACTGTGACTGAAAACTGTTCAGTTACACGCGGTACCGAATCGTCGTTGTACAGTACCACGACAGCACATATAGATGTTAGTATTGTAGGCTTTGGTCCCGCAACACCCGGGATGGAATCCTGGCCTTCGTTGTACGGTACCACGACAGCACATATAGATATTAGTATTGTAGGCTTTGGTCCCACAACACCCGGGATGGAATCCTGGCCTTCGTTGAACGGTACCACGACAGCACATATAGATATTAGTATTGTAGGCTTTGGTCCCGCAACATGCGCGGTGGAATCCTAAGCGTCGTTGTACAGTACCACGACAGCACATATAGAATGATGGGTTGTAAGTTGTTCTGCCACACATAGCCCGGCCAAATTGTCGACGGGTCCTGCTTTTTGATTTCAGTTTATCTAGGGGCAAAGTAATCGGATAGGATTTAGAACCTTAGCCGTAACAATGGACATCCTAAACAAGAGTCACTGCGATGGTGATGATGATGTTGATGATCATTATGATAACTGTATTTGTATTTGTATTTTGTTTGCCACACATAACACGATTACAATTTCAAAAAGATACAAAAAATGTAGGAAGAAATGGCGATGATGCCTAAAGGAAGCTATAAAGCCTATTTTAATTAGCCCCCCTCAAGTACATGTTTTCAAAATGAAATAAAAATTACGGCGACGGATACTAAATATCATTAGATAGAAAATTAAAATAACAATCAATATTAAGGAAGTTTAATGTTGAATATTAAGCAGCTTTTTCCTAAGATGTTTGTTAGAGTATACTAATAACCATTACAAATAAATGCCTTAAGTGCTCTTTTAAAGAAAAAAGGGGAAGAAGAGTTGATGTTGTTGGTGTTTAAGGTGTTATAAAATTTAGGTCCTCATTGATAAAATACTGAAAATTGTTTGATTCGAGTACGACAGAAAGGCAGGCGAAATTTACAAGAGTTTCTCGGTGTTATACGAATGAATTTGACTTTGTAAGCCGTAACTTGAAATTTTAAAGGTAGAGTATGGTTTGAAAGGAGTGCATGAACAAGCCTAGTTGTAATAAGTAAATAACATTAAGATACCAAGATTTTGAAGGATTGAATCAGTATGTGCATCGAAAGGAGTTCTAGCTATAGTTCTGATCACTCGTTCCTGTAAAATCTCAAGACGCATAAGGTTAATTCTGTAAGGAGGCCCAAACTAAGTTGCAGTAAAAAATGTATGGATAGACTAGGAAAAATATAATGATCTCAAACTTTTCGTAGATAAATAGAAATTAGATTTACGAATAATACCTGTGGATTTAGAAACTTCATTGGCCACATGTGACATTTCAGATTTCCAATTTAAATTGCTCATGCGAACGTGAAACTTCGAGCACAATACCCATATATAATAATGAGAAAGAAAAGATCGTAGAAAAAAAAAAGCTGAAAGACTTAAAGAGTAAGTGT